AAGTAAACTTATTTTACTAAATTTTAAGATCTTTGATAAGACAAGAATCTCAAATTTTAATTAGAGAAGTTCCCTAATAGTATTGTTTATTGATTATTTTCATTATTATATTGTAACAAATACTGTATTGTTACCAGATGAAAATTCTCTAAATGATTAGCTTATACTAATAAATTTAAGAAAACAAATATCTTTCAGATTTATAAATAACTTTTTTTAAGTTTATCATTATTGTCTTTCTTATGAGGGAAATTTTGTTTTTGTTTTGATAGACGTTGTTACATTTAGCAATCAAAAATGATTGTATGCCATCATCTGTGTGCATTCTCCTAGAAGCTGGATGCAATCCAAATCTAAAAGATAAAGATGGAAATACAGTTATCCATTACACTGTTCAGTATGATAAAACGGAGTGCCTGGAAGAACTTATCAAATTTCAGAAAAAATCTAAAATGGATCTTAATTTATTAAATTTTGAAGGTAAGTTTAACTACTAAAATTTTTTATATGGTATCATATTTGCAAACCATAATAATATCATCATTAGCAAATATGATATAAATTGGATTTTAAGTAATGTATATGCTAAGAAACTTATGTAATTGAATAAATGGAAATCTTACCTTAGTATCTGTTTTATTGTTACAATAAATTATTTTATTAATTGTAGCTAATGCTTTTTCAAATGTACTAAAATTGAACAATTTATAAGTTTTAAATATCACAGGATCTATAATTTAAAAATACTTTTTATATCATATTTTATGACTCTGTATATGTGACTTTTAATCCTTGTCCATCTATCAGACAGGAACCGGCAGTTTTTGATTTTATGTAATTTCATAGCCTATCTGAGTTTGAAGGAAAGGACTTTGGAGCTAATTCATGCAAATGTGCATGAAAATTAGTATTTCATGGAGAGTTTTATTGACAGAAAAGAGGACAAATTGGATCTTTACTTGCAGGATTTGTGGTGGAGCAAAGGGTAATAGAAAAAGAGGACGATGATGAAAGAGATTGGCAAGTGATATTGAACTCATAATAAGATATGTTAATTTTTAACATCATCTTTCTTATATGGAAAGATTAGAGGAGAATTAATAAATTTATAGATGTGTATTCATACTCCACTTATGAACAAAGCTGAGTGAAACAGCAAGAGTTTGGCAAACTCTTCAATGCATTTCTATGATGTGGACTTCTCACAAGATGAAAATGAATACATGACAAATGTATAAGGAAGGCCATGTATAAACCCATCTACATACTGAAGGTGTTCCAGGACCCTGAGCAATTTGTTAGAAGTGCATTTAGAGCATTTCCCAATGTGGGCCCATGCCCCATGGGACAATTGGATTGTAAAGGGGGCAATTCGAAAATGGACTCATCCAGAGTTTCAGTTAACTGTATACCGTGTTTCCCCGAAAATAAGACATCCGCAGAAAATAAGACCTAGCACAGATTTTGCTGAATTGCGAAATATAAGACCTCCCCCTGAAAGTAAGACCTATCGAAGTTTTTTTTAGTCGTAACGGTCATTGACAGATGGTTGAAAGTGGCCGTTGGCTTTTTGAAAGTACAGCCACTGATTGGTCAGCAGACAATTATGCCACACGGCATGATTTGCATAAGGCTATGGCTTGGGAATCACACATTTGCATAACGTTACGGCTGGTGATGGCTAATTGGTCGGCCGGGAATCACGCCACATGACATTTGCATAGTGCTACGGTTCAGTAAGCACTAATTGGTCATCGAGTCCGATGTTGACGCTATAAAAAGGCGATTGTCCGACACACCGGATATAAGTCACTCTCGTCTAAGTTCGACTTGAGAATTTTTTTGTTCAATAATAAATGTGAATTCTTCTTCCTGAAAAAAATAAGACATTCCCTGAAAATAAGACCTAGCGCACTTTTCAGAGCAAAAATTAATATAAGACACTGTCTTATTTTCGGGGAAACACAGTAGCTGCTGTATATGTTAGGGGGCATAAGAATTTTAGAAAGGCTTAGATGGGGCATAGCACAAAAAAGGTTGGGAAACACTGACTTACAGCATTAGTTCACAGAGATGTATAGGTCATAGGAAGAAAGAGATTTGGAGGATTAAAGATATAGTGGCATCATATGGTATAAAACAGAAGAAAGATATGATAAAAAAAAAAATGAAGTAAAAAGAACAAGAAGCAGATAAGAAAGAAGAAAAGGGGGTGGAAAGCATCCCAGTTAACTATATGATATAGGAGAGATTTGTACAAAGGAAGAGATTGTATTTAGGAGGAATAGAACAATCATTCACACCCTAAGAAATCAGAAGGATAGAATACTGAAGAAAGATAAAGCAGAGATTTATAAGATACCACTGACAGAAAGGTCGAAGTATGAGAGGTTTTATGTACATAGGTGCCATGGGCTGCAGCATCAGAGAAAGACTAAGAGAACATGAGGACATTTGGAAAAGGAGAAACAACACAGCCTTTAGTAATATGGCATACAAGAAAGAAGTTCAGGTAAATTTTAAAAGGCTTTCTAAAAACTATATCATGTGAAACAAAATATTTTTAAAGCAATTGAGCACATCTAAGACATTATCAAGCAGGAAGCAATGCATCAGTGGCATAAAACTTTTGTAACAAATTTCTTTCACTAGTAGTATAAATATTTTATTATAAGTATGAATCTAAGAAATAATAAAAGTATTTAGTATTTAAATCTGTCTATGTTGTTTGTATCACAGTATTTGTGATTTCATTAAAGTAATAGTAATTTATTTAACTTGAAAATTGTTCTTCTCTTCTGCTTCAAGTTATTCAGAGCAAACTGTAAGAATCCTTTAAGTTGATAATTTGATAAAGTATCAATAGTTTGAAAAATATGATGACTTTTCAAATTATAATTTATCCAATACATTTAAGAAATTATTCGAAGTTTATTGTTTGTAAAATGTTTATTTTATCTATATATATAAATGAGGATGTTTCTTTGTTTGTTTGCCATACACTCCTAGGCTGTTCGACCAATTGCTACAAAACTCGGAAGTTGCACTCATATACTTATAACTTACATCATATCATACATTTCACACCAAAATATTGATGGATTTCTACATATCAATTAATCTCTGTCTACACTCCATTTTCTGACTTTACAGGTAGCTCTATCTATTGGGAAAAAATTTAACAAAAGAATTAAATAAATATAATTTTTAAAAATATATATTATATTTACCAACTTACTGCGACAATGATAAAACACAAAATATATGCGCTATTATGCCATTACTGCGACAGGTAGCACCTGCATGGAGTGTAGTAGTGTTTTGCCCCTGTACATCATACTTTTCGTCTTAGCAGTAGAGTCATGCTGGTTTTCTATCTAATTCCATTTGGGGAAATTTTGAATTGAAGTAACACTACTTCTGTTCCAAACTGGAAGTTAGTATATAGTTCATTTGGGCCTCCTGCCATAAGCATTCCATATCTGGTTTCAATTTTCATCTAACTAACTCCTTTCTCGAGATTAAGGAAGGTCAGACACACAGAGGAGAACAGTCAAATCTACAATTTTTTCAGATTGCAGCCCAATAATTTTTTTTATAAACGCAATACTGTATTTATGAGAACATACTTTCTACGTAGTTTATAAAATCTGATGCAAAAATATAAACACTTTATCATTATGTTAAAGGAATTCTAGCATTTTTACAAGAGTTTTTAAAATTTAAAACCAAGTTTTGTATGAAGTCTTTCGAATGTTAACTTCGATCAAATGCGGGGCCATTGCAACCTGTCTACCACGTATCACTTTTCAAATATTAATAGTAGACCAGTATTAATTAGTGATCGTTGACTGAAGAGGTTCCAGGACAGAGATTCCTGGAAGAGGTCAACAACTTTTGGTCGAGTTACTTCAACCCCCTTCCACGACGGTCCCTTATTTCTATCAGACTAGCAATATGATGGCATTCGAATAGGAAAATTACATAATACAAGGTTACCGGCGAGCACAAAATATGATTTAAGTGTTTTTCGAGGATGCTGAGTTTATACGGTATTTGGTCCGTTTTTTGCAAAATNAGCACGAAGTTAAAATTGTATGTGGCGCCATAGTTATGAGATGTTATCTAAAAATAACTTTTATATTATTAATTATTATAAATGTCAATAACGAGTAAAAGTTTTAACGCTAGGATTTTCACTTTTCTTTCTTTGACAGCGGCCGAAGAGAGTTGCCGGTTCCTTTTTTTTTGCTCTTTTGCCGTTTTGCATTTAACACGCACGATTTTGTGAAGAAATCAATTTTTCGAAACACGCACGTTTCTTGCGATCCACCTGTGCGTGTTTTAACAGTTTGCTGGAGTTGGCCGCACATTTGGATACTTAAACGTTTCTTGATGTTTTGTCGGTTATGACGATGGACGTGTTTATCTTCCCCAGGTTTTAAACTGCTTTAATCAGAACAGTAGAAGCCTGTCACCGCATTTGTGTTTTCGTGTGAAGCCGAAACAGAAGAACTTACGCCGCGGTGCTCAGTTCATTTTACTTGAAAATACCTAGTATTTTTATGTTTTGCAGCCAACGGGTAGGAAATTCAGGAGTGAAATGTCAATTAGAAAAGATTCGTCAGTAGACCGTTATTTACTAGTGGAAAAAATCCAAATATAAATAACTCCGTCGACGTCGTCGTTTTTTAAAATGTTTTGGTTTGTTAAATCGAACGTTAATCTAACGAGTAAGAAGAAAAAATCGTCTTTGTTATAGATCTCTTTGTTCAGATTCAAACTCGAGGGGATTAACCTTGTCTCGAGTTTGAATCGCCACCGTTTATTGAGTTTTGTACGGGAAAAGCGCGACTTTGTGGCACAATATCTTCAAAACGGCTTAAAAACGCTGAAAATGACCTACATATTCGTAATCGGTGCAAAAAAAACTGTGCAAGAAGTAATTTTATCATGTGTTTGGGCCAGGGCATATAGTCTAAAGTTTACAAAGTACAGGGGTTTTGCCTGCTTTAAAAAAGTACCTGATACGTTCTGACATGATTACACCGCTGATTGAAGTGATGATAGGGGTAGGGTCACTGCTAAAATATCATTTAAATGCATTTTCTTCTGACTTACGAGGCCGAAACTTCGAAGATTGGCACTATAAGTTCTCAAAGTGGATGAAATTTGAGTTGCGAGGTTTCAGGTTAAACAAAAAGTATTTCAGTTAATTGTGATAAATAATAATAATGTAGAGACAGATACTATGCTTCGTCGCGGTTACTCGATAATTTCGAATTTTTCTCGTCGCTTATAGACACCGTTTTTTCCAGTTCATAACACGTAATTCTATTAATTATCTCGATTAATAAACCGGTAAGTACATTTAATAACATGCCACCTTTCGTTTCGTTTTTGTTTTCGCAGGAGAGATTGCATTTTTGACGAATGCCGAGCTGGAAGAAATCGGTCGGTGTTTAGATCCGCCCAACGAAGGATGGAGAGTCTTGGCCGCCTTCGTGGTAGACGAACAATTCATCGAAATCGTAGGGAAATATAATAGTCCGACGAAGAAATTGTTAAACATGTTTCAGGTAAATCGTTCTCTATTGTTAGAAAGCTTCCGTTTCCGTACATGACATATTTACTAATAATACGCGGTTCATGTCGGTTGGCAGAACTAAATAAACTTTTATTAAACCCTTTCAGGGCGATCGGAGCGCCTTCAGAAACCTTTTGATCGACGCCGGTCTGGACACTGCCAGAAGGATTCTGCGCTGAACATCTCCCTCTTCTCCCCAGTGCATAACCCGTCAGGACCGAGAGGAAGACCGTCGCCGGTGTCACCAGTTAGTGTCCGACAAGGTTATTAGAATTACAAGATTGCCTGACTTTGATGCTTATTGCTCGTGCATAGCCTATCGTGACTTCGAGGAGAGGATTTTGATCGGCTTGGACATGGTGAAACTATGTGAAAAATGAGCGGATACGTGTCCGAGCTTTTTGCCAATTTGCCTTGAAAATATTAGTTTTTGATGTTTCAAAATTCAAAGATTTGCAACGTATAGTTGTAAGAGGTAATGGAAAGAACATCCGTAGGGTAGTTGTTAAATTGTCATTAATTTATGCCGACAGTTGTAACTTGTTTCAGTTTTCTTTCCTTTTTTATTACTTAATTTTTACCTAATAATAAAATAAATATCCAAATGCAAAAAAGCAATTTTGTGAATATAGTTTCATGTCTATGCTGATCAAAATCGATTGGTCGTGTCCTCTCGTTAAGTCTGCTACACCCGTACATATTATACCGTTACTGTGTACCCGGCTTTAGATTAAGTCCTACGCTATCGGACAATACTTCACAATACAAGCGTTTTTTTTGTACAAGTGTTAGTAAATATCAATAGTCCGAAAAGAATTATTTATCGCTTTAGTTATAAAAAATAGACTTCTAAACTTTTTATTTAAATATAAATCATTGCCTACTGTTTAAATAAGTAAGGATTATTATTATTATTATTATTAAAACGTTTTAACAACTCGTGTTTATTGTGTGAAAATAATGGCCGAAATAAGTATAAACATTTCAAAATATTTCAATAAGTGTAAAGCAATACTGTGTGTAAATGTTGTTACCTTAAATATCTATTTTTAAATTGTATTTAAAGTTTATAATAAATATTTTAAATCATGTTTTTAACGTAAGTAACCGAGTCGAATGTTTATAATACGTTCATAAAGTTATCGTATTTTACCTAACAAATTACACCGTTGTATAAATTCTTAAAGATGGAAACGAAAAATATGTACATAATATTGATTTTTCACACATTTCAAACTTCTTTGTTAATATCTTTTATCAGTAGCTTATTTAGTTAATAAATTAATATACTGTATTAAAAAATCCAGCAATGAGTTGCTTAACTTTCTAGCAACATTTAAAACTGCATTTGTGGTGCCATCTGTTAATGATATTTTATTATAAATAGCTTTATATTTTTGATTATTATAAAATGCAAAAATAATTTTGAGGGTAGGTATGGGTTTTATAAAAAAATAGTAAATGCTAGTAACGAGTAAAACCGTTATTAAGTTCGACCCTACTGTAGATACACACGACCATCCAAAATTTAATAGCAGTCAATCTCCCTAATAAACAAACTTACCTGCAAAATTTCAGAAATATTCGACAAAAAGCGCAGGAGTTAAGCCATAAACATGGCGAAAAAAATCGTGCCCCTCTCATAACACTGTTGATTATTCCGTTTTATATGAATTCCATGTTGTACGAGTCACTTAGATTTTACAAATACGTGTGCCGGGCTGTGAAAGGCTCACGCATTTGTAAAATCTTAGTGACTCGTACAACATGGAATTCATATAAAACGGAATAATCAACNAGAGTCACACCTTCTTCTTGCATGAAACGCCTAGATAAAGTGTTGCTTATCCTGAGATGGAATCTTCGATTCTGCAGGAAGTTTTTTTATAAAAATTGGCAAATTACCTTGCCATCTGAATTGGTGTAGATCACGGAGTATCCCGTATTGCCAACAGCGATCATAGGCCTTTTCTATATCAGAAAACACAGACACTAAGTGCTGTCTTCTAACAAACACTTCACGTATAGATGTTTCAAGGTTTACCAAGTTATCTGTGGTACTTCTGTTCTTATGAAAACCATTCTGATGTGGTGAAAAGTTCTTTTCCTCTAGGATGAACATCAGTCGTGTGTTTACCATTCTCTCGAAGAGTTTACACAGGTAACTTGTCAGAATGATTGGTCTGTAATTAGAGGGATTCTTACAGTGTTTACCTGGCTTGGGAATGGGGATAATGATAGATAGCCTCCAAGTGTCGGGAAAGGTATTTTTCTGTCTATATTCTGTTAAACAGATGCAGGAGATTACAAAGGAAATTGTTTGACAGATTTATAATCATACTGTAGTGGATTTATCCGGACCTATAGCACTATTCATCGAGTGAGAGATCGCTGAATGTAATTGAATTCTAGTGAATGGCACATTATATTCCTCATTAGATGAGGAATGAAAGTTTAAACACTGTTTTTCTCTTTGGACTTTACAGACCTGAAAATTTCTTGAATACATAATATTGCTGGATGAAGCAGAAAATGTTTCACCGAATAAATCAGCAATACCCTGTATATCACTGATTATTCTGCCGTTATTTTCCAGCATGTACAGAGAATGAGAGGCATGTTTTCCATTGATTTTATGGATTTTATCCCAGACTGCTTTTGAGCTAGTGGAAGATGTTTTGCTAGAATCATACATCCTCCAAGAATCTTTTTGGCCTTGCCTCCTTATTCTTCTGGCATTTGCCTTTGCTTTTTGAAAAGCTACTAATTGTCTATCAGTGGGGTATTTTCTAAAAATTCCCCATGCTATCTTTTGTGCTTTAAATGCTGCCTCGCAATTCTGGTTCCACCATGGTTTCGGATGCGTTTGGTATCTGGTTGATGTTTTTCCCATTGTTTTTTAGGCTGCCTGAATAATACTGTAAGTGACAACTTCAACTGCATCATTGATATCAGCAGTATTGACCATTTTCTCAGTGATGTCAGCCAGAGAATAGAATGCAGGCCAATCTGCTGTTTCAAGCTTCCAGCGTGGTGGACGGGCTGTTTGACAGTTTTCTCTGCCTTGAAATTTTAAAAATATTGGAAAGTGGTCGCTAGAAAGTGGATTAGATCCAACCTTTTATGAAAATTCTAAAAATAGGTTTGGACTGGCTAAGGATAGATCAATGGCAGTGAATATTTTTGTTGGGGCATGGAAGTATGTCACTTCTCCACTATTAAATAAATACATTTGCTGATTGCTGATAAATCTCTCAATGGCTCTGCCTCGATTGATGTCGGGACTGCCCCACATAGGATTTTGGCTATTGAAATCACCTAGTAAAAGGAATGGAGTTGGCAGCTGTTCAACTAATCCATCCAATTGATTCTCATTGACTCTGACATCTGGTGACACGTATATAGAGCAAACTGACAGTTATTCCAACAGAAATTCTGACTGCCACAGCTTGCAAATCAGTGGTTATTTGTACTGGCAAGGATGGGATGTGATTTGAAACTAGAATAGCCACACCTCCACTGGCACAGTTGTGGCTATCATCATCCTTGCGGAGCAGATTGAATCTTTTTAAAGAAATATTTTTTCTAGGTTTTACGTGGTTTTTCTGGAGTGCCACACAGAGAGATTGTGTATATGATTTGAAGTGTTTAATGTCGGAGAAGTTGTTGCGGAAACCACGACAGTTCCATTGGGTGATTTTATAACTTATTATGTGTTTGAGGCAGCGTTCTTTGTGAGAGTATTTTTCTTTAATCTAACAGGAGGTTTTTCTTTTGGAGGTGATGTTGGTTTTGTTACCTCTTTATTAGTCTCTTCATCAGAGAGATCAGAAAACTCACTTATAGATTGAGCCTCTGATTTTTATACATTAGGGAGAGTTACTTTTATTTTTTGCTTGTTTAGTGAGTTCTTACCGGCCTTATTAGAACCCAGGTTTCTTATTACTTCTGTTTTAGGTAAGGGTGTTTTTGATTTTATACTCTCCTTTCTGGTATTTCTTTTGGTGGAATCAGTAAACATTTCACATGCCGAGTGAGAGATTCCTTTGGGGGATACAGAAATGTCAGTTTGAACTCCACATGTCCTTGTGGATTTCAAAGCAGCAGCGAATGTCTTTTGTCTTACTGGTGCACTTGAAGTGACCATGCAATGCGCCTCTGGATAAGGTAAGTTGTTTACTGTTTTTACACGCTGGATTTCTTATTCTGTCTGCCATGCAGGGCATTTGCGGGAGTAGGCAGTATGCACATCTTTGCAATTCACACAGATGGAGTAGTGGTATACTCAGTACTCTGGTGACCTTCAATTCCTCACTGTGCGCATATATTCTTCCCTCGACAGGATGTTTGAGAATGTCCAAACCACTGGCATTTGAAACAACACAGCGGATTTGGAATGTATGGACAAACTGGACAGCACAGGTATCCTGCAGTAATGAAAGTTAGTAATGTTGGCTTGTTGAATGTGAGGTTAAGATGTTTGGTTGGGATGAACTTGCCATTTTGATGAATGGAGATATGTCGAACAGCAGTGACACCTTGGTCCCAAAGGCCAATCTGAATGTCTTATTTGCTTTCAGACATCAAATCAAACTCAGATATCACACCACAAGATCAGTATAAACTTCCGTGTGATGTGACAGTCACTTCCACGTCTCCCAGTGTCTTTGTTGTTAAGAGTTATGCCGAATGTTGATGTGCAACAATTAAACTATTGTCAAATAAAATGCTATTTCTCACCTTGTGGTGACTTTTAGCACCAATTTTTTTTACCTGTAAATCAACTCAATAAAAATAATAAATTCTAAGCAATTTATGTAGAAAATAATTATTTTTAACGTGCAAAAAACCACAACAGTTTTATTTATAACTGTAATAATTAAAATTAAATCATCATAGTTATTAATCATTAATCACGGAATTAAATACCCAAAAAATATATTTAAAAAATATATATATTTCTTATATAAATTATAAATATTAAAATATAACAAAATTAATAAAATATAAAAATAAAATTGAAAGAAATGCGTTAAGAGTACCCGGGATCAGTAAATAGAATAAAGTAGTTGAATGAAAAGTTGAAAGTTGTATAGTGGATGATACTTTTTTTTATCTTTCATTTTTCTAATGCTCTTTATACAAGTCATATATTATAAAAATGATTAGACCACAAGAAAATAACTTGAGAAGATTCTATCCAAACGTATCTAGTTCGATTCTGTCAAGAGACATTATATGATCTCGTATATCATTTCTTAGCATTTCCAGCATCTTCAGTCTGATCACGCATTTCAGACGTTTGTCTATACTCTTTTTCCCTTCTTCTTCCTCTTCTTCTTCTATTTGCTGTTATATATTTATTGCTGACATATAAAATTCTTCGAAAGAAAATTTCTTAGATGATTATATTTTTATTATCCATCACAAAATGTATAATGAACGAAAGCGTGGCGTTAAAGTATAGCTTAAATTCTACAGAATGAAGTGAATTTGATTATATTCTTATATTATTTAACTGCTTAAAATGTTTTTAATGTCGTAAAGTTTAATTTAATTTTTTTTAAATTTAAACATGACGTCAAACTGACTTAAAAATCTACACTACTCTGACAAAATTATATATATATTTTTAAATATTTATTCGTATTATATGTATTTTTATATTATATACTGTAAAATTATATATTTTTAAATCAAATATAATATTAATAATTGTTAATTATTTCAATTTATTTAGACATATATTTAGAACTGATAAAAATTTAAAATTATTTTAAATTTTAATTTAAACAATTAGTTCTGTGTTTAATTATTAATTGAAAATATGGAAATACATTTAAATTAATTATAATTGAATGAAAGTTTAATTAAAATATATAATTGAAGAAAAAAGCAATTTATACATGTGAATAATTGATAAATAAGACGGATGGTTCTAGTACAGTTGGAGTTGAATTTCTACTGAGAGAGACATAAAATTAAAAATTTTAAGCGATTAAAAAAAAAAAAAAAAAAGCTTTAAAATTAAAAAACCTATTAAATTATTGAATAATTTATTAAATATAATTCGTCAGATTCTCTTGCGCTTCTTACTTTACTATTTGCGTGTTTTGTTTTAAATTTTTCTCAAATTTTTAATCACATTTTTATCTACAAACACACATTTTAATACAGGAAACTTAAATAAAGGACATAGAATTGAAATTTCTAAAGATCAATACTCGTAATGCCTGCATAAACTTAACATTTATCATGTAAATTTGCACAAAGTTCAAATATGTAGTCACATATTTGAACTTTTAATGTTAAAATTTTCAGGTTTATGACTTCAATTCACTAAACTAATTTAAAGTGGAAGCATTTTGCGGTTACGAAATGATACTAAATGATTTATCTTGTTCATCAAACAGCAGTAGAATGTTAAAATCAATTATTATATTAAATACAGTTATTTATGAATGTAAATTCTAACGAATTTTTTGAAAGAAATATTCAGAAAAACTGAAATAAATAACAGCTTAAACGTAAAATTCTAGCAAAGAAAGGGACAAAGAAACTACTAGAAAAGAGATTTAGACAGTTTTTCACGTCAGATAAATCAATCGCTTCAGAGAATGGAGAAGGATTACAAGATAATTCGTTAATCTAGGATGGAAGAAAACTGCTTCGAGTAAATATAACTTAACACGTTTTTTTGCCCTCTTTATCTCTGAGTAAACTTGTTACAAAATGTGTTTGAAAATCTTTTATTCTTTTAATTGTTGACTTCGCGCTCTATGATCATCAGAACATTTAATTATACCCATCATGTGTTCGGCCATGCCCACAATTGACGGCTGATAGATAGCGATATAGATTACTATCGAGAAATTTTTGGAGTTTTTGAGTGCCCGAATTTGACCCGGGTTCTCCAGAGCGGTTGGTTGATACCTAATCTCTTCGGCCATCCGGTTGTCTATGATTCAGTACAATTCTTGTTTTTTTATAATTCTTTTCCTCTGTGAGCATTAAAAGAGCCTTTCTTTACATTAAACAGAAGGTTGAATATAGTTAAGATCGCCTTGATATAATGGTGTGATGTAATTTTTTTAAACTTTAATATTTAAACTAGACACATTTAACTTAAATTTGGTATATAAAATGTTGTTTCTATAATTAAATAATTATATAAAACTTCATTTAGACAAAATATCTTATAAAATAGAAGATTTCTATGTATTTTTACAATTATTTTCGCATTTTAGACACTTAAAGGGTCTTTACTGTGTGTTCATTAATTTGGTCGGGACCACAGAGAAAGTCGAATGATTAAGAACAAAGACTGCAAATTCAGAGCAAATCAATCGTAAACATTTTTTACCAGAATTTAAACTCGAAACGAGCCAGATGAAAGCTTCGGCCATTCGGGTTTCATATTTCCTGCTCAATAGTATTTTTTAAAATACTTTCTCCGCCCTGTGGGCACTAAGAGGAATTTTTCTTTATTTATAGGTTTGGAAGTTCAACAATAGAAGATGCAGGGTAATGAGAAACGGGGCCCGGCATATCCGATACAGATCATCCGCGATAAGTTTCCGGAGATATTCCCTCTGTATGGTTTTCAAGTACTCAGAGCGGTAAGAGTGACTTCAAGGATAATTTTTAATTTATCTGTAAGCAATCGCTAAAAAAATCATATACATTTTTTAAAATTTGGTCAATTTTTAATGTGTTTAAAATATTTATGTATAAAAAATTTGATTGAAAAATTAAAAAATAACATTTTTTACCGTTTTGGCGCTGCAATCGGTAATACAAATAAAAAATTAATCTAAAGATATTAAAAAACTTAAAAATAGAAATTCCTTTTATTTTTGTTGTTTTAATATTTATTTTTATATCAAATGTATTAAAATAAAAATTAATTTGAAAAATATTTTTGATTTTCTTACAAAATTATTTAAAACTCCGAATTTTCGCTCAGCAGATAGCGAGTTGAAGGCGAGTTTGTATTCCAATGGAGTGAACCGATTCCCTTTTGGGGAGCACTCCTCAATTCTTCTTTTCACGTGGTATTTTTTAATATTTTCAGATTAAAAAATTATTCGGCAATATAAATTTTAAAAAATATGTTTTATTTATTTGCAATTAAGTCACATAATATGAAGAAAAAAATTATTGAATTTTAGCGTTTATTTAAATGAAACGAATCAAAATGATAAAACTTAAATTTTGGCGAAATTTTAAATCAATTAAAAAATAATAATAATTATAATTAAATGAGTTTGATTTCTGCTCATCAAAATTTTCATGAAATAATTATATTTCAGGCCATTATAGATTCCATATCGGATGCATCTTGTACAGCTGTAAAAATAAATAAAATAAGATTAATTTTAGTCAAATCTACAAGAAAAAAATAATGAAAGTAGTAAATATTGATAAAATTACTTTCTAAGAGAAACTCAATAATGTTTATCCCATAATATATTTCAATTCCTTGGCACTGAAAGATAATTATATTTATTCAAAATGCAAAAGTTTTAATACAGATAAACACAATAATTGCTTATTTTTTTTTCATTTTACTTACGATTAAAATGGTAGCCAATGCAATGATTCCGGGTATTTTCCAAAATGCGCAAAAGTTACTCTCTCTTACAGTATTATATAGCTTCTGTTTTGGATAAACAATTTTGAGTTCTTCGGGCTTTAATTTTTTCTTCATTTTTGCAATATTTTCTTCCAAAATACATAATAATCTATAGATCCATTCCTTAATAAGAATCCAGGTTATTTGACTCCATTCGCAGATGATATTCGAAGCTACGTGCATCCATTCGATGAAGTATTCTTGTGCAATGAATGTGTATACTTGCAAGTGGAGGAAAGTTGTGCAGAAAAAATATTTTGTATTATCTAAAATACACCTCAAGTTTTCTCCATGCATAATATAGAGAGATGCGAAATAACTCTTCAGGCAAGTATGGAAGCTCAGAATGGATTTTTTAATATTTTTAAACATATCTAGAAATGTTAATTATTATAATTTAAGATTTATATTTAATAATTTACAATGTTTTAAAGCAAATGTTTAATTCAAAACTCTCTAAAATTAATTTAGATAATATAAAGAGTAAACATTCTAACCATTAAAATCATCACATGGCAGCTTTTGACTTTTGCATGAGAAGTAAGATCGTCCTTTTTCTATTTTCATGCCTATATAATAATAATACAATTCTCATTATTATAATTAATGTTCATGAATTTGTATTGTATCAATAATCATTTGAAAATAATATATAGGCCTATATATAAATCACCTGGGACATCTCTTGAAAAGAAACTCAATGCCACAGCACAGAATGAGAAAGAAAGTAACAGAAGAAAAATATTTTTTATTAACTTCATTCTCTAAATAAAAGAAAATATAAAATATTTATCAAATTAAAAAAAAAATTATATATGAATATATACGACTATCATGGCGATGCTGTTAAGGCGTCAGCCTACCGCTCTGCGGCACCTGGGGTTAAATCGGAGCCAGCAACATCCAGGAATTTTTCGTGGGTGATCAATTTTCTGATAATTTCAGTCCCGTTCCTCACCCCCCCACCGCCGCTGCCATTGTGGACCTGACCGAACCGTAGGAAATTTTCTCCGAACCCATTGCCGGTTCGGTCAGGCCCACAATGGCCGTTTTAGTGTTCACAGGGAGGAAAGAGTTTTTAAAAATACGTATAGTGTTTAAAAGGCTAAGAAAAATATTTTTGAATAAGTTTTATAATAATTTGAACATTTACGCTAACTTATATAGGGTGGCCTAGAAGTCAGTTAACCGTGAATATAAATCGAAAACTAAAGTTTAGAAACACGCGCTTTTCTTTTACAAAATCGGTGAAAATAGTTTAAACGCAATTGCATTTTTAGTTAATTAATTGCAATTTAGAATTTAATGATTAACCCACTTTTGGGCCACCCTACAGTATTGAAAAATTAATTAACGAGTTTCCTTAGAAACGAATATAGCAAAAAAAACAATTCAATGATTTATATTCATATCGTATTGGTGAGAATATTAAAAACTTTATTCTTTAATTCTGTTTTGAGCCTGGTAATGATAAAATATTTAGAATCGCCATTAATTTTTTCTTTATTGAAATATGTGGATTTAAGTAAGTACCAAAGCATTGTATTAAGGCAAGATTTTAATGCACAATATATAAGCTTACATATATCTCAAAGACACCTCATCTCACCTTGACGCCTACCCTAATAAACCCATAGCACAACACTATACATCAAAGCTGACACAACCACGCCTTCATTGATTAGCTCTTTGCTTGCTTTGGCAATTTCTTGTTTCTATCAAATCCTCCCACGACACTAACTCTACAAAGTCCAGATATTAATTCCCATGAAATTTCTCCAACTATTAGATCGAAACACCCTCAAAACTACGCTAGTTTTTAGTTTATATCAAATTTATCATAAATTCGGCTTAAAAGCTATAATCTTAAGACTAAAAATTGAACAAATTCGCATTATTTTGGCCCAACTTAGCCTATTATTTTCCCAAATTTATTGTAAATTAATGCACGTTCTATGGAAGTAATTAAGTCGGACTTTTTCTTACTTTTGAAGGCGAAGCTCGTGTTTTTAGCCTTAAAAACAACCGGAATTTATTCTTATAATCAATAATAATATATCCTTATTGTAACAAAAGAATTAAAGAAACCATTATCATTCATTGTTACAATAACAAAGGATACAAACAGACTTAATTAAGTTAATGTACAGTTGATGAATTATGTATAAGCGCTGCTTAAATATGATTATCAATTTTATTTCTGCGTAAATGTTTAATAAATATATCATAATTAACCGTATTTTAATAATTAAAAGCAATATTTCACTGTTAGCAGTTGAAAGTTAAAATCGTAAACTTTAACTGTCAACGTTTCAATTTGCTTTTGTTTGAGGTGAAATGAAAAAAAAAGGTTTATTTTTAAGTTCTTTACTGATTCATTGAATGCAATTTTCGCTTAGAAACAGCTTTGAAAGTCACCATTCACTATTACATTAATAGGATTTTTCTTCTTCTTCCTCTTCTTCTTCCTTCCTCTGTAGCTCTTTGACGTGTCATTCTAAATGCCATTATTCTTTCGTATTTCAGCATCAAACGATGGAGATGAAAGCTTGAAAGTTTCTTTTATAAAAATACATTTTTAAAATTATTATTTTGAAATATAATAAATTTAAATAAACCATTCATTTTCTAAAGTAAAAATTTATAAATAAACTATGAATGTACTGAAAATAAACTAATTTACGATAAAATTTGTAATTTCTTAGAGTAAGTAATGATAAAAACCTTTCCCTAATGCTTTATATAAGATTAAAATAGAGTTTATAACGGAATAAAATAATTTTAAATCATTTATAGAGTTAGTTAAAGTCGTTAATTTAATACTGTTTCCATAAAGTTATCATTAGAATTACTGTTATCTTCCACGCATTCTGCACTCATTGCATTATAATTCTGATTTTACTAGCTTATAGTGATGAATTATACTATTGAAAATTACATAAATATTAAATGTTGCATCTCAAAATTATATACAAGTTATTTAATTCATGATGAACTCTAGAGCTTCTTTTTGTATTGGGGCGAAGCTTACTTTCAGGGGAAATTCTATACATTTTCGTGATTCAAAGCCTAAAATATTGTTATATTTACAAATTAATCATTTGGAAAGATGTAATTTTTCATAACCAGTTATTTTTTTGTATTATTTAATTTAAAAAATTAATAAATCAGATAATAATTAAATATTTTCCTTATTTTTTACCTTTCCAATTAATGCAAGAGTGGGAAAAAAAGTTTTAATTACGAGAGAAAAAAATATTTCAAGGTAATTAACTAATTTTTGTAAATAATATCAAATTAAAAATCATCAATTTAACCGTTTATAAGATTAATTTTTTTCTTAATTATATTTAATTAAATGACAATTTCCGGATGCAAGTGGCGTAACGGAGATTTTAATTAAAATCAACGAGGGTTTCCCTTTCGGATAACCAATTATATGTTTATTAATTTGCTTTAACGAACATTTAAAAATTTTATTAAACAAATATTTAATGTGCTTAATTATTTGTCGGTTAATTAGAATCTAACTTTTAGCCCCTTTTACGCTCTCTGCCTCTTCACTCTTGACGTTTATGATGAATGATCAACTTCTGTTTTCGTGCACCAGATGGCGTGGCGCCGTCTCTAGCTTCATCCCCATCTTCGTCATCTGCTCCGTTTTATCAATGACAATCTCTGCCACCTTTCATCTATCACCCCGAATATTTTAACGTCACACTAAATTTTGTATTCTTATATAACAATGTGAAGCACGTACTGAATATTCCTAATATTTATAATTTAAATTTTAATATCTTTTAAGTGAGATTTGTAGGTGGCGAAAGAGCAGGGGGATGATATAAAGAGGTTTACGACATTTTAGCTCGTTTCCTTGTTATTTAATGAAAATACAAGAATTTCAAATGACTTCATCGTCTTAGTTTACCTTATTAATCTTAAATTCCTTGCATTTACGAGTAAGAGTGAGTGCAATTATGATGTTTACGATGTTATGCAATAAAGCTCGTACATAGCATTAAATTTAAAAAAAAAAAACATACTATTCTGCTGTGTAAAAAATTAAATTTAATCGTATAAAATATATAAAGAAACGATTTTTTTAGTATAAATTGTTTAATAAGCAATCATATATAATAATTGGGTCATTTGTGAGCTGAAGGATACCTCCTATAGAAGAAACAAACATCATCCATTGGATTTATGAAGAGTTTTGCTTGAAAAAATTTTTATTTATAATTTAATAAGCTGTTAAATAAATAAAAAATTAAGTAAATTCTGAGCTTCTGTATATGATCTATAGAGACACTGAAAATACAATTAATAAATTGTGAGCTGTAGAATATCTCCTACAGAAACAGCGATTATTCTGGAGATTTACGAACAGTTTTTCTTTATAAACAATAAATACAAATTTTATCAAGTGTTAAATATATATATATATATATAAGAATTAAGTTAATTGTAAGCTGCTGTGTAGAATGTATAAAAACAATGATCATGACACAAGAGAGTATTTTTATAGTAAACCATTTTATTTTTACTTTTCTAACGTTGATAAACAGTCCAAAAATATACCTTTTGATCCTTATAAAATGTGCATGAGATCCTATTCTATGAACTCAACGACAAATTTCCCTACAGTCCTGTCAGCTTTAGCAAGCGTTGAACATATATATATATATACATATACACTGTACCTTTTTTCCATGTAATTTTTTATTTTTATTTTTCGTCAGCCATTAAGTTGATTTGTGTACATGTTGTTTAGCTTCTAACAAATTTAATAAATAAATAAAAAAATAAAATAAAAGTAAAATAAACATTCTTTTCAAATATTTATTTTTTTTAATGAATTATAAATTTTATTCAATTTGTTTTTTCCTTAAAAAAAGGAAGAGAAAACTCATCAGTATAAATAATATTTTTATGATAAAAAAAATATATTTTTTTCTCCTATTCTTAAAGAGGAAAAAATGCAAAACATTTATTTTTTAAAACTTGAATATTAATAATAATAACGATAATATTTTATATAAAATGAATAAATAAATAATTCAATATATTAAATATTATTTCTGCATAATAGAAACTTTTATAATATATTCTGTTATGTTAAATAAACAAATGTAAAAAAAAAATGGTTAACTGACTTTTGGTTCATCCTGTTTGAAATTCTAAAATATATATATATATTAAAAGAGATGCAATCATTAAATTTATTAAAATTAATTGTAATTTACGCTACACAGGGTGGCCTAAAAGTCAGTTAACCATTAAAGGCTATATATTTAAATATGTTTCCGTCAATTTTCTAAAAGAATGCTCAGTTTACGTTTCACACTTACGGATATATCACAATGGTAACTGACTTTTGGACCACCCTGCGTACAGTTTCCGGCTGATTTTACGTATTAAATAAGGTGTAATCTTTAAAATCACGCTTAAATTTATTGTATGTGTAAAAGAGTAGACTGTATTTATGAAATGAAACGTACAGGGTGTCCCAGAAGTCAGTTAACTATTGTCCTATTAAAAATTATTACTTACGATCTTATAAGTTGTATAAACTCAGTATACGATTCTTATTCTTATACATATGAAATGTACGGTTAACTAACTTTTTGGTCACTGTTACTTTTAAATTTACACGATAAATTAAAATTTTAACGACTTTTTTTGTTTAAAAAACAGACTTNAGTATCGACCATCTTTTCTTTTTAAAATCTTATTATAAAAATTTACGATAATATTTTGTATTAATTTTTATTTAAAAAAAAAAAACGAAAATTATCTTCTAAGTTAAAAGTTTGATCAGTTTATGTTTTACTGTTTTCATGGTTTCCATTACCCCGTCAAATATTATATCATGGTTTTAGTTCGCTCCGTTACCGATAAATCAATCCCCACTGTTTATAAAGCTATAAATCACTTTAGCACGTGTATAGTCTCGGATCGAGTCCTTGTATGACGATACAAGGACTGGATTCGTGACTATAACAATTAAACCTCACATCCCAAATCTGCATTGGCACGTTCATACATTTCTAGACTGGACGGATTTTATTGTGAAACCCTCGATAAAATCCCTAGGGTTCCACGGAACACAAGTTGGGAATCCATGCTTTGAACCAATTCTATTTACGTTTTTCGACAAAGTTTTTGTTTCAAATCCGGCTTCTCCCGTCGTGGACACGATTAAAAAAATAAAGATCTTCTCGTTGCCAGCGGCCAGAAGCGATCGTGGATCCATCGTCGACGATGACACGAAACCGTTGATACTTTGGAACCGACGCCTGCTACTATTGAAGGTGTACGCTTCTCGGAACGGGTGGCGTAAGAAGACGCGGAAACCACACCTCCTACGATTATTATTTGACCGTTCTTAATACAAATCGGAATCTTTTCGGGTAGGGGTAGGCAAATCAGATCTTTCAAGAAACGTGAAATCCTAAGAAATCGGGACGTGGGGCAACCGTACCTCTTTGTTCCTAGTGCCGATCTCGCCGCGGTCGTCAAACGAGAAAGGACCAAAGTCGGTGGTATTACCGAAAAACGAGTCGTTTGTTTTCCGCTCACTACCCACTTTCTGCTCAGGTCTGGAGGGAAACCGAAAAAAGGATTTTCCGTCGTTTGTCCGAAGTAGAATTGTATGTCCGGCACCTGGAGACAGCCATTCGAAGATGTCCGCTTCCTGCCACCTTTCGCCTGGTAAGTACTCCCGTCTCTTCTTCTTCTCTTCGTCCTCCCTCTCATCTCTTCCTCTGGAGCAGAGAACGGCGATGGCCAGTATTTCTTCCGTGCTGGAGTCCCTAGCCGCTGTTTATCGCCCGAGTTCGGAACGCTGCGCGTGGCAGCCCGCCTCCGCTTTTCTAGTCAAGGTGAGTGATTTTTTTCCCACCCACCCGTCTACCCTCAGGAAGCGTAAAACGCCGCGCCGAATACGTAGGCGCAACAAGGTGGTCGGGCGTACATTAGACTTCGTCGCTGGCGAATACGGAAGAAGAGCGTGGATACGAAATTAGTAGATACTGAATCTTGTGTTAGACGTGTACCACCGCCTGACTGGCGCCAACGCATTTACGTGGTCTTTTACGCCGGTGGCACCGACTCTCTGCGTCAGACTAACATTGTCTTCTTTGCAGTATACCAACAGCTTGATCCGGTCTTGCCGGAAGTTTCTGGTTCGAAACGGAATTCCAAACGTCTTGAATCAGAGGGAGGAGGAATGGATAGAGAAGATCGACTCGTGTCTGACTCTGGCTCGAGAGTATCGGCGATATTTCCGGGAGATGAAAAAGTCACGCGGCGTCTTTCGGGACGTCAGCGAAACCTTGGTCTTCGCCAATTTGGATGATTTTTGTCTTCTTCTGGAAAAGATTCGAAATATCCCGGACCCGCTCCGTCGATATCCTGGACCATTCGATCGAGAAAAACGGGGTAAATAAGTCCGTCTTCCTCCTCGTTCCGGTATGGAACATATCGGTTCTCAATCGCGTCCATTTTTCCATCTCCAAATCCCAGATCGGGTTTTCGTTTACGTCCCGGAAATTCGGGTTTTAGCCCGTAGTAAATAGGAGGGATTTCAGAAATTTTCTTCCGACTAAATGCTTTCCGGAGGACGAAAATTCCTTTGCCAACCGCTCGGACGTCGTTCGTTACGACATATTTTAGGTTTTGATACTGTACCATTTTTCTGAGGTTCCGGCTTCTGTTTCCGCGCTTATGAATAATGACAAAATTTTCTCTTCGGGTGGCGCAATCGGTAAAATGTTTAGATAACTATGATAAGTTCGGATAACTAAATCTAGAATTATTAGCAGTTTTATTCGGAATTTTCCAGTCAATCGAAACCGGAACCACCGGTCCCTAGGCCACCCGTGCATCAAAAAATCTGTCGCCCGCCTCGAGTCTTCTGGCGGAAACTCAACGCGGGAGTTTTCTTCTTTTCTAGAATTGCGAGAAGCCGCGGGTGGGTTAAAGAACGGCGTCAGACGTTCGGAGTACGTCTCCTACGATACCTTCGACCCGGATGACGCAAATTTTGATGCGGATTGTGCCAATTTGCTGGCCGCAGCGGAAGCCTTAAAGGTATCGATCTCATTTCCTTCTCCTCCGTTTTCGGATTTCTCTCTGAATTCAGTCTTTTCCGACAGAAGCCAAAGGCCCGTTCCCGGACCGTCCCATTCTTGACCGAAGCCGGTGATGAACCCGGGCGAATTCTTCGGTTCTACGACCGAGAGTTGGACCGGGTGTGTCGCCTCTTTGTAGAATACCGGAGAAAACCTCCTACTCTGCGAGGCTTCTCTCGGATTGCGGGTAAGACCTTCCCTTCTTTATTTTAGTTATTCCACGCGCTACGAATATCACAAATATGCATTTTGTATTATGAGACGATTACAAAAGAACTTTTTACCGAACAGAAAGGATAGCTTGGACTAAACGCCTGTCCGAGCGAATCGAGGAACCCTTCCGGAGGCTGCCAGACTTCGATGACGTTTTGCAGGGACGACAGGGAAAGGCCGTGCTGGAAAAGTACAAGTGCCTTGCCGGACAACTGGAACGTCACGCGGCTCTTCTTCACCGAACTTGGTTCGAACGAGTAAGTACGTTTACGAATATGCCCTAGGTCCAATTTCTTTAGTAGAGATGTCTATTGTATATATTTATATAAGCAGCGAAAAATCCCAATCCGAATAGAGTTTCATCTATGACTCGCGATCCGTAGGCTGCCAATCATCCGAGTCTGATATTGCAGCAGAAGAACCATTTCTTTTCTCTCGTGTCCAAATTTTCAGTTAAAATTTAGTCGTAATCTGCTTATATTTTGAGAGTAGTTATATATTTATTAAATATTTTCCTAATTAATTTTGTGTTTATAGTTGTTTGAGACGAAAATAATTGCGGCATGATCGCGCTGCACGTTCTTTAGTTAGACAGATAGGATTATAGCTTAAAAATAACGGGAAGGGCTGTCCATAAATGACATCCACACTGGAAGGGAGAGAGGGGGGTTACAAGTCGGACAAGGGCAAGAGCAAGGGTTAAACTTCAGTGAACGTTCGTTTTATTTCATTAAATTTCATACAGTTTATGCACTTTATTATTCGTGAAGTGATAAAGATTTTGAGAGGGGTTGAGTTTTGTTGGACGTCGGAAGAGGGAAGGAAGTTACGGAAACTTGGACAAACTGGGACAGTGGAGGAGAGAGAGTAAAAACTCCTCCACTGTCCCAGAAAAATTCGGATGTAATTTATGGACAGCTCCAAAGGAATTGGGTTTTATATTTTGGTTCGAAGTAATCTCTCCCTCCGGTTTTATAACAGTTCTGTAGGATGGAAGATTTTCTGAAGGAACCCGTTTTGGTACAGGATCCGCCGGGCACGGCGGAGGTTTCGGTGTACAATGGTCGTCTATGGATTTTCCTGGCCGAATGCGTTCAAATTTCCCGAATGAAGTTGGAAATTCCGGAAGCGGGACGGATTCTGATGTCGAAGGAAGAGGAGCTGAAGAGATGTCGTTACGTCATTCAGGTATGTTGATCAGCTAATACATTATCTAATAAGCTGTATAACGTTCACCACACACGGACAAACCACAGAAAAAAAAAAAAACAAAAACGGAAACTGAACTGATCTTTGTAATAACAATGACGAAAACGAAAACGAAACGAACGAACGACGGTGAATTATTTCCACTAATGGATTGGGTAGTTGACGTTTCAATTATTGGAATTTTCATTTTCTTTATTTTCCAAACTACAGTATAATTTTTCATACTCATATGTGACAGTTATCTATGAATTTATTCGTTCGCCCATGTAACAATTTTTGAATTTTGGAACTCCATCGTCTCGGCACACTGGGAATTTGCTCTCCTCTGCCTCTGACTTTTCACGGCCCTGACCAATATAACTGTGTGTCTTGTAAGGTAAAAAATGCGATAATTTCAAATAACTTTCCTTTCTCACGAGTTCGCTAGAATTTTTTCCAGTCATCCGCTTACTAACACAGGCGCCTTTATGAAAATACTATTTCGAAAAATAGTTAGGATGAAATTTGAAAAAAAAAATTATAAACCCGGCGTCCATCTGTTTGTTTGTCTTTTAATTTCGAGAACTGCGTTAGATAGATGAAAGTCGAGACCAGATATGGAAAGATTAGGGGCAGGATGCCCCGATTAACTATGTAATAACTTCCGGCATAGACAGGAAGTCACGTAATTTCAATTCAATAATTTTCTCTACAACGAAGTTACATATGACTCTTTTTTATCAGGAAAAGTATTATGTACGGGAACAATACGCTACTAATTTGAGATCGAAAAAATATATTTTAAAAAGCAGCTAATGTACCCGGCAATGCTCGGGATAATTATCTTAAGAAAATATCGAACGGATTTGAAAATACCACAATGCATTTCTAGCAGGGGGTAACGTCATGCACGAAAAAAACATCCTTAGTGCCCATAGCATACAGAGTCAAAAATGACGACAAATCTCGTCATGCCTCGGAATAATAAAATTTACTCACGCTGGAAAATGTGACCATCAATCTAAAAGGCCGATGCATTAGCGTGTCTAATTGGCTTCTTTCTTCTAGTGGCAAATGCCACCGCTTAAGTTCTACGTCTTTGTTATCGAATGTTCTCCGCCGTGATTCGTCACTCGAAAACTTGCGAGTGCAATCTAGCCGTTATTCTATCGGAAATCTGATAAATTTTATATTGAGCAGAGAGCCTTGGAAGAATACGCCGAAATCAAAAGAAGCGTCCCGGAGAAGTTGCGACCGTTGACGGAACCCCATCTGAAGAGGATGGAAAGTTTGTGGCTGTGGGGAATTCGGACGCAATCGTGGGGCAGTCTGGCTTTGGAATCCTACGCCCGCTCTTGCACCACCAACGTTGGACAATTGCGCCTGCTATTGTCCAGGTGAGTGACCGAATTTCCTTGTTACTTTATCTATCTGCTATTTTCCAGTGCATTTGATTATAGGACGAGAAGCTTTGAAAAATCATGTTTGCTAACTTCATCTTGTGGGAACGGCAATGTCATAATACTACGGTTCCCATTTGTTAAAAAAATTTGGGAAACATTGATCTAATCTGTTTCTGCATTGAAACTAAAGGCTTATTTAAAACACAACGATAGGTAAATATATATCGGACTAAAACAACATTTTCTTTTGCACAGAATCAATTCACTGCTCTACGACAGGATCGAATCTATGCTGGGAACACTATCGGATATCCAAGTGTTAAAGTTTCCTACCCATCGTTCGTTATGCACCAAAGAATTGATTTCTGTTGCCGAGGTTAGTTTCTTGTGTTTATGTTCTTTCCGGCGAATTTCACATACATTCGAATACGGAAGAAGAGCACAGTGGAAATCATAAACCTAAATATCTTATAATTTTTTATAGTTCCAATCAATTTTCAAATCAATTTAGCTAATGATTATCTCAAATAATATGTGACAATTCAGACATAATTTTGGTCCCATGATAGTTTAGAATCACAATATACCCGAGTATTTTATATTGCTTGAAATCCAATTATTTTCCACCCAACATAACGTTAGCGGTATTAAAATTTAGTTTTTACTTTCACGGCTGTAACAAGGGAAAGTATTGTAAGGGTGTCAAATTCGATCCTCCGAAGGTTTTTTTATTATTTTATTTTTTCAAATCTTCGTGTTTTGAGACTTTCCGAATGCAAAAGATTCAAAAGAACGGCAAAAAAAAATTCATGAATATGTATGTGTGTGTGTTGACGTCTATTTCCCTTAATATCTGAGGATAGGGTGAAGATTAAGAAACGAAATTTGGTATGATAGCTTGTATATGAGGGCTTGATGCTATTAAATTTTGGTGGTTAAAAGTCGAGGGGTGAGGAGTTAAGTGGTGTCGTGTCATATCTCGAGAGGAGTTGATCTTAATGATTTTATTCGTTATTAACATTTACACTTTTATATAAAACTCATCCCTGCCCTCAAAATTAAGCTTTTTGCCATTTTATGGCAAATAAAAATATAAAAAGTTTTTTATAACACAATCTCATAACAGATGACGCCACATACAATTTTATTTATTTTTGCTTAATAATATAAAAGTTATTTTTTTAAATAAAATCTTATAGCACCCGGAAAAGTCACGCAACTCGTTGCTTGAATTATTTTTTATTATTTTTGATTTTGTCCAGAATAAAACTAGATTTTTTAATAATTAATTTTTAGTTTATGCATATGCATATAGAAGAATATTTTATTTAAGAAACAATTCATTTCTTCTCTGATAGTATCAAAATTTGTGGTTGAAGTAGATATTATTGTCTTCGTATAACTTAGTATCACTTTATTATCGTTAACTCTCCGCACCTCGACCTTTAATTTAATTGCATTAGTCCCTCCTAATAATCAAACTTTAACATTTATATGTTTTATACATACGTTATCTTAGTTTTTTTGTACGGTATTACTCGATTATTTCGTGATTACATTACATTTGCATTTATGATTGCATGTGCATTTAAACTTTATTGATCGGACCATTTCCGAATAGTGGAAGGGTACAATTCTGCGATTATAAAATTAGTTCTACATCGGACGAGCATATCGAAAGAACTGGAGGCGTACCCTCTGTCAATAACTGGGATAGATCTCGATTTTCAAAAGTGATGGGCGAGGGGAGACGATCGCGAGCGAATCTAATTATTTGTTCGATTGATAGGTATCATGCCGAAACTCTAGCGAATCCATTCAACGACTCAACGTGTCGATCGAGGATTCAGTTATGGAGTTGATCGACGTCTGCCTGGAAGATCTGGTTTCTCAGATACACAGTAAGTCCTTTTCTCTTTTATTTCTTAAAAATAACCGAAATTTTCAAGGGTTTACTGTTTTAAGCGGTGGATAATTTAGTAAAGCACCTCGAATCTATGTACAGAAAGATAGTTTTCAGTTTTAAAATATAAGAGAGTAAAGCTTCTAGAAAGAAACAGTTTCTTTGTAAAGCATTTAAAACTGGTGACGAATAGGTGTTTATAATTATTAAAAACGTGAACGAAGCGGGGCGTTAATGGCAGTTCATGACAGTGGTGCATTCGTGATTTAATCTCGGGGAGTCGAGTTGAAAGGATAAAAACTTTTTAATAAGAATTCAATAAAATTGTCACCTTACGTGACCGTTAATTCACTGTACAACATAAATAAAAGATGAATTTTAATTAGGAAAAGACTTTTGGAAAATTTTCTACGTTTTTCCTCTTTTTGGGAATGCCAACGCTCTTTGGTTTCGCTTCGGATCGACGGTGAACATTTCTAACTTAGAGAGAAACTTTCTTTCTTTTGGTAGACGATAGACCCACCTTTCCGCAAATGTCATCCGAATCCGCTCCCTTCGTCAGAATGCCGTTTCCCGCAGACGACGATTTCCTGCAAAAGACTGAAAGAGAAGCCGATCTGCTGTTGGACAGTTTCGCCCTACGGACTAAGGAGACGGTGAGGGGACTCCTGCACCGCGCTCTGGAATTCTTGAGGACGATGTTGACTAGTCACCATTCCACCGGTAAGTCTACCGCTTTTGTAACAGAGAGCGTGTTGATGGGCTGGTCTTGTCTCCTTGCATTCGAAGTCCCGTGCACATAACAAATACTTTTCTCATTCAAAATATAGGAAATATATAAGAGGGTATGTAACAGTTACGCACTACCCTCATGGATGAATGGCTGAGAACGCACGTATTATAACATCAGGAACTTGTAGAATCAATGACTCGACGAATTTGAACAGTCATTGCATCTATAGAGGACGGGACAAGCTTTTAGGTAGATGTAACTAATAAAGTGGCCAGTATATTTGTGTATATTTATATAGATAAGTGATTTGAAACACATCATCACTTTCACCGTGATCACATCTTTCGTTTACAGTGATAAACTTAAAAGTTACAAACACTGGCTGGAATAAAACTGTAATATACACTCTGGTCGGTCATATTGATTGCATTAAGAGATTATTAACATTCGATTTCAGAATCAGTCTGGGTGTCTACTCTCGAGTTATGTGATTAGTACACAAACGTGATGTTCTTAATACGTTTGTGTTACTACTCTCATACATCGAGAAGAGATACCTTGTCGGTCCATTCCATTACAGTCTTTATCTTTAGGAGAGAAGGAATCTTCGTTTCTTTGTTTGGAAACGACCGTGGTTGACGGAGAAACAGGTTTCAAGTTGCACCCCAGTCTGACGTTGTTGCAGGGAGCCATCGATCGAATAATATTCTGTCTTCTGGAAGCGGCCAAAGGAGTGTCGGAGTGGAAGAGGAAGCCTCGTGTTTGGGTCAGTTTCTCTTTCTTTTCTTTCTTTCTTTCTTTTTGGTCATATTTATGTGTGGATCTGTGACAGTTGGCCGAAGATAAAGACTACGACCAAGTGTCGCTGTTCGACGACCGAAGTCAGTTGGTGGCCAGGTCCAGAGCTCCTTACGCCAGCAGTCTATTCGAGTACGTGGTCGGAGATGGAGAAATGACAGAATCAAGGACAGCCCTTTCCACCTCCGTCCTTTTACTTAAAGAGGTAGGATCCATTATATCTTTTTTTCTGTAGACGATATATTACTCTCAGTCGGCCGCGTGGCCGCTTAGCTTCGGTTTTCCGTGTTGAGGAGCTTGGAATCGAGTCCTGGCTACGATTGCCTAAATTTTCCACTAATGCTGGGGTCTTCGGGACTTCAGCTGAAGGTAAGGCGATTGATCCCTCCAAATTCTGCGCTATGTGACGGGACGGTTCCTTGCAAAAACGATCGAACCGATTGCACGAACGAGCGAAAGTCACCATACACGATGTCATACGCTTATGCTTTGTATAAATCTGGTTTTAATATGGTGAAAATTAATTTTTCGTGGTTCGTCGGCAGGAGACGGACAAACAATTGGCCCGTTTCTCGCTTTTCCGAGATCTTCTTTACGTTTCGGACAAGCGATCCGAGACGAAGACGTTTCTGGCTTCTCGGCCCTCCTTGCACGATTTCAGAGATAAGATGATGTACTACAAAGATTTGGAGGAAAAGATTTTGCTACTTCCGGACGCCGTAGAGGTTAAATGTCTCAATCTAGTGACCGGTAAGAAGTTTTTCGTTTATGCCAATACGTCGCCAATCACTTCTTAACGAGTCGTCTTTTCTTTACATAGAACAAGCGAAGAAGCGTCTGGCAGAAGAAGCAAAGCGCCGGTATGTCGAGTACGGAACCATCTGCAAGGACGAGTACAACGCCAGGGCCAAGTCCATCGTTCGCACTGTTCGAGATCTGATCGGGCGAATGAGTCGTTCCGTTCACGACACCGACGATGCGGAAGAGGTGTTAGAGGCTCTGGCTCGAGCCAGAGACTTACGGATCGACATCGAATTGGACATCGGTCCGATCGAGGTAAGCGCTGCTAGTGGATGGTAGTATCTGCCCCGACCGTAACACCGTTTCTCTTTTCAGGAATGCTACGGTTTGATGAACCAATTTGGGATGGTGGTAAAGAGAGACGAAATAGAGAGGGTGGACGTTCTACGCTATTGGTGGACCAATCTGAACGACTGTGTGACGCGAACGGAGAACGGTCTGGAAACTTTGCAGTCGCAATTCGCTCTTCGAGTGGAAGAAAGTCTGACCCAATTTTTACTGGATTGCGACGATTTCTGTCTCGAATACCTGGAGGTGAGTCTTTCTCGAATACCTGGAGGTCGATGGAGGTGATCATCTCCATCGACGGGCTGTTTAGTTAAAAATTTTCGGGTTTTCTTAGCGTGTCTAAAATCCAGGGATGAGTTTCATCAGTGGCGCGTTATAGCTTCATGAAGCCCAGGCTATTTTAAAGTGCCCGATGTACAGTGTTGACTTCAGACATTTTTTATTTCGTGAGAGTTTTCTGAGTGAAAGATTTTTTATTTAATAAATAATCGATTTGGGGTCCCTGTTAGTGGGAAACCCAGACAATTGCCCATTTTTTTCCCAGTATGCATTTCTTTGCTAAACTGCTTTCGTGTTGCATTGCTTTATCCCATTCATCAACGGCGAACAGCCAATGATAATACAAAAATGAATTAACACAACACCATAATATCTTTAAAAATTTAATATTTATTTTTATATCAAATGTATTAAAATAAAAATTAATTTGAAAAATATTTTTGATTTTCTTACAAAATTATTTAAAACTCCGAATTTTCGCTCAGCAGATAGCGAGTTGAAGGNATATTAATAATTATTTATTTTATACAACTTTATATAAGTTACTTATAAAATTCTTAAGAAATTAATTAAATAATAAATTCTGAGGTAGTGACAAGGTAAATAATATACGCGTTGCTTAGTAATGTTGACATTGATCAATTATTAAGGATAGAGATACAATATGTATGGTTGAACATTTTTTTTTTAAAATGTTTTCGTCGAAATTCTTCGCTGTATAATAACCTGTCTCTAACAATCACTCGCAGGAAAAGAGTTACGAGGAGAGTCAGTCACTAGTGGAAATTGGAGATTTTTTTTTTCCTCCTCCTCTTCCATAACTAGACTTTCATGTTTATCCGAGAAGAGTTTATATATATTTACGTTAAGATATGTTATAAGATAATAAACGGTTGAAAATGGCAGAAAAACGAAGATGATGTCGGCTTAGAAAATGTCCAGATGCAATTTGATAACCGAAGAGAACGTCAAATAAATTCTTTACAATTCTGCCTTTGAGAAACGTCAATGTTTATTAGTGAAGCCAATTGGATCCCATGGGCATCGTTGAGAGAAAGATGGTTACGAAGATGAGTTTTAGTGAAGAGAATTGCAGAAAATCGATCTCAAATGAGAAATTTAAGAATGGTGCACGTGTCATTAGAATTTCTTCTTTATTTAGATTAATGTTCCTTCATTATCTTTGTATATACACCTAGATTACTACGAATCAGAATATACCTGTCTATCATTTATTTAATCTTCTTAAATCAGTGGATTTAAGTAAATCCTCTCGACAACAGTTAGAGAAACTTTTACCTTTTAGAGTCTCTTTAAAGAAATCGTGATATGTTTCCTCAACATAACACAGTTTCGTTATTACGAGGTAAACTTTTACGAGTCGTAAAAAGAAAAGAAGAAACCCCTCCTCCTATTGGTCGATTTGAATTCGAATGAACTATTCAGATAAAGCGAATATTTATAAGTTTATTTCTTAGCATTTGGATGGGTAATTTTTACTTCTAATCGATTCGAATTTATCTATTTTTTTCGATTTTCCATTTTTTCCGCTTAAATGGAAGTTATGATCCTTTCACTGTCCCCAGATAGATAACGGAAGCTCATCCAGATGTTCCAACATCTTTGCTGAACCAAATCACCCTATCTGTGATAAACAGCTGGACGTGCTCCACTTCTGATGATTGTATCACATTAGGAGTGTGTTTTTTGCAACAGCAAAAACCATTTTCCAACTCCTTACATGCGGCGACTACATCCTGAATATTTTAACATTTTAATAAAATTATATGCATATACGCATTCACAAATATAATAATTCAAAATCTCCTTTTAAAAAATAAAAAATATTTTAAATATTTAACAAGCAAAAAGTATTGTGACATATTCACAATTCCGGGATGCANTAAAAGAAAATATAAAATATTTATCAAATTAAAAAAAAAATTATATATGAATATATACGACTATCATGGCGATGCTGTTAAGGCGTCAGCCTACCGCTCTGCGGCACCTGGGGTTAAATCGGAGCCAGCAACATCCAGGAATTTTTCGTGGGTGATCAATTTTCTGATAATTTCAGTCCCGTTCCTCACCCCCCCACCGCCGCTGCCATTGTGGACCTGACCGAACCGTAGGAAATTTTCTCCGAACCCATTGCCGGTTCGGTCAGGCCCACAATGGCCGTTTTAGTGTTCACAGGGAGGAAAGAGTTTTTAAAAATACGTATAGTGTTTAAAAGGCTAAGAAAAATATTTTTGAATAAGTTTTATAATAATTTGAACATTTACGCTAACTTATATAGGGTGGCCTAGAAGTCAGTTAACCGTGAATATAAATCGAAAACTAAAGTTTAGAAACACGCGCTTTTCTTTTACAAAATCGGTGAAAATAGTTTAAACGCAATTGCATTTTTAGTTAATTAATTGCAATTTAGAATTTAATGATTAACCCACTTTTGGGCCACCCTACAGTATTGAAAAATTAATTAACGAGTTTCCTTAGAAACGAATATAGCAAAAAAAACAATTCAATGATTTATATTCATATCGTATTGGTGAGAATATTAAAAACTTTATTCTTTAATTCTGTTTTGAGCCTGGTAATGATAAAATATTTAGAATCGCCATTAATTTTTTCTTTATTGAAATATGTGGATTTAAGTAAGTACCAAAGCATTGTATTAAGGCAAGATTTTAATGCACAATATATAAGCTTACATATATCTCAAAGACACCTCATCTCACCTTGACGCCTACCCTAATAAACCCATAGCACAACACTATACATCAAAGCTGACACAACCACGCCTTCATTGATTAGCTCTTTGCTTGCTTTGGCAATTTCTTGTTTCTATCAAATCCTCCCACGACACTAACTCTACAAAGTCCAGATATTAATTCCCATGAAATTTCTCCAACTATTAGATCGAAACACCCTCAAAACTACGCTAGTTTTTAGTTTATATCAAATTTATCATAAATTCGGCTTAAAAGCTATAATCTTAAGACTAAAAATTGAACAAATTCGCATTATTTTGGCCCAACTTAGCCTATTATTTTCCCAAATTTATTGTAAATTAATGCACGTTCTATGGAAGTAATTAAGTCGGACTTTTTCTTACTTTTGAAGGCGAAGCTCGTGTTTTTAGCCTTAAAAACAACCGGAATTTATTCTTATAATCAATAATAATATATCCTTATTGTAACAAAAGAATTAAAGAAACCATTATCATTCATTGTTACAATAACAAAGGATACAAACAGACTTAATTAAGTTAATGTACAGTTGATGAATTATGTATAAGCGCTGCTTAAATATGATTATCAATTTTATTTCTGCGTAAATGTTTAATAAATATATCATAATTAACCGTATTTTAATAATTAAAAGCAATATTTCACTGTTAGCAGTTGAAAGTTAAAATCGTAAACTTTAACTGTCAACGTTTCAATTTGCTTTTGTTTGAGGTGAAATGAAAAAAAAAGGTTTATTTTTAAGTTCTTTACTGATTCATTGAATGCAATTTTCGCTTAGAAACAGCTTTGAAAGTCACCATTCACTATTACATTAATAGGATTTTTCTTCTTCTTCCTCTTCTTCTTCCTTCCTCTGTAGCTCTTTGACGTGTCATTCTAAATGCCATTATTCTTTCGTATTTCAGCATCAAACGATGGAGATGAAAGCTTGAAAGTTTCTTTTATAAAAATACATTTTTAAAATTATTATTTTGAAATATAATAAATTTAAATAAACCATTCATTTTCTAAAGTAAAAATTTATAAATAAACTATGAATGTACTGAAAATAAACTAATTTACGATAAAATTTGTAATTTCTTAGAGTAAGTAATGATAAAAACCTTTCCCTAATGCTTTATATAAGATTAAAATAGAGTTTATAACGGAATAAAATAATTTTAAATCATTTATAGAGTTAGTTAAAGTCGTTAATTTAATACTGTTTCCATAAAGTTATCATTAGAATTACTGTTATCTTCCACGCATTCTGCACTCATTGCATTATAATTCTGATTTTACTAGCTTATAGTGATGAATTATACTATTGAAAATTACATAAATATTAAATGTTGCATCTCAAAATTATATACAAGTTATTTAATTCATGATGAACTCTAGAGCTTCTTTTTGTATTGGGGCGAAGCTTACTTTCAGGGGAAATTCTATACATTTTCGTGATTCAAAGCCTAAAATATTGTTATATTTACAAATTAATCATTTGGAAAGATGTAATTTTTCATAACCAGTTATTTTTTTGTATTATTTAATTTAAAATATATGCTGTTCACCTCAAATTAGTTGTGTAGNATTAATTTTATTTAAAATATATGCTCTCGATCTAAAATTAATGTCTTTCCCCTGTAAATCATACTTTTCCTGATAACAACAGAGTAATGCAGGGGCCGTATTCTGGTCAGTGTCTCTGGTCTCTCGTCTCTTGAAAGCCGGTCGCTGATTGGCTAATCCAAATAGTTAGCCAATCAGCGGCCGGCTTGCGAGAGACAAGAGACCAGAGACAGTGACCAGAATACGACCCCAGGTCATCTATGTAACTCCATTCTGGGTAAAATTTTGAACTAAAATCATGTGACTTCTGATGTAGACAGGAAGTTTCTGTATAGTTAATCCTGTCTTCCTGCTCTTATATTTTCTACATCTAGTTTGAATTTTATCTATCTAATATTGTTCTCGAGATTAAGGAAAGACAGACAGACGGACGGACGACAGTAGAAATTTATGGGTCTACAATTTATTCGTGTAATGCACTTTTAACACAGAAGGAAATAAAATTTAAAAGAAATTTATTATTTAGAGAAGAGGAAAAATAGCATAACAGCACTTTTCCAATAGCAAATTATCCATATTTCAGGTAAGGATCTCGATGGAATAGCAAATATTTACTTACATAGAGTATATTATTAATCTAACCTGCCATTTGCTTAACCAAACCTTGTTATATCGCATCTCATGCTATTCTAGATTACTCTCTCTGCTCATTAATTTTATTATCTCGGAACAAACCGTCAAAACTACACCGAGCTGTCAATGATGCAGTAAATACATCCTGCGATTTTAAATAATAATGAATTTTGCATAAATCCTTGAAAGGAAATTTAATTAACTTTTAGATCTTTTAGGCCAATTTTCTTAATTCGTAAATTCTTTAATTATTCTTCATTAATATCTTTTAAAAACCTTTAAATATATATATATATATACTGTGTATACATTGCGAAGTAAGCTGCTTCTGTACTTAGTTTGAGCATTACGAAGGTGATTTTTAACTGGAAATTTGTATAAATTTCATGAAAATTTTAATCTTTTGGCCTTTATTTAACGTTGTATGGTGTTAATAATTTACAAGATGAGATCTAGAAGACGAATGGATGGAAAAAAAGTGAATAATTTAAGAGGAATTCGTGTATATTGCACACTTAAAAATTTCTATAATTTATTTAATTTTTTAAAGTATATATATTTAAATAAATTAATTATAACTTTACGCAATTTATGTAATTAATCTATAGATTCTATTAATTGAGATGGCAATATAAGCTCAAAATTTATACGAATTAATGTTTTTGCTATAATTTAACACTTTATAGTGTTAATAAGTTAGAAAATAAGCTGTAGAAGACGAGGAGAAGCGAAAAAAAAGGATAATTTAAGAGAAATTTGCTTATAGTGCGCACTTAAAAATACTTTAAAGAGAAAGGAAAAGAAGCAATAAAAATTTTTAAACAAGAATTTAAATTTTGCACGGTTATTGCACATTGAACCCGCTAATTTAATATAGACTATATAGAGAAAGAGAGAGAAATTAAGAAATTATTATTAAATACGTCAAATTATTTTATTGAAAGGGAGGAAAAATATTAAATCTAAATGCAAACGATAATATCAGCTTGATATTTGATACTCGCACGTTTAGAAATTTCTAAGAGAAAAGACATAAAACTGCTTAAAATTTCTTCGATAATCTCTTAAGATGCTCCTCGGCATCATTTATCATAATTAAGTTCATTCGCTTTTATTTTTACTACTTTTTAGCAAACGAATTTCATACAAATATTTAATTCGATTGGTTAAAATTATATCATATTTTATTTTATTTTATTTTTACAAACATTTTTTTTATATTAAAAAATATAAAGAGATGTGTGATAGAGGCTTATCACTTACACTTTGTCATTTTATTATCATAAGATCTCCATTATTAAATCTTTAACGATCGCTGTTTAAAGTTAAAAATTTGCATCTGAATCGGAATTTTTTCCCGTTTTCTTTAAGTAATATGTTAATTTATTAAATAATCATGTATTTTGAATTTAAAAAAAATTGTTTAGCGTATATAAAGTAGCATTTCTTGACGTTCTAATCTCAAAAACACATTTAAAAAAAAAATTGAGAACAGAGTCCTGTATGAGTGTGTGGCCTGTATTTTGTTTTATATCTTAGGATTTCATGGACCAAATTTTTAAAAAATNAATTTAATTTTTATTTATTTATTTTTCTTTTCTTGGGGAAAAAATGATTTTTTTATTATTTTTTTAAAATGTTAGATGCCGTCCCCTGAATAATGGCTTGTCCTTTCGTCAATGATGCTTGACAGTGAAGTATCCTTTACAGGCGTTAGTTCAATTCTGCATTGATGATATGAG